GAGGGGCTGAATGCTGCAGACTAGACATCCAAGCGTTTTACAGTGGGAAAGAAGAAGGGAGAGCCACAAAGACAGAAATGCAGATTTTAGTATTAATTGCACTTACAGGACAGCCACCCGATGCTGCTTATCGTGAGCACTGTGTCTGGTTGTTGTGGTGCAGTCCTCCTGCGATGTTTATGATGGACTGGGCTGGGGTGATCACACAGGGCTGTGAAACTCGTCTCCCTGGTCTCAGGGCTGCAGGTGCAGGATGTGGGGATCGGAAGGCCACCTTACAGGGCTGTGAACCTCATGGATCTCCTTTCCTCCTGTAGCGTTCCTGAGGTAATGAAACTGACAAACCTCAGTTTATGGCGTTTAAAACTGGTTGCTGCAAAGATCTTGCGGCAGCGGTGACACCATGCCTCCACGCAACAAGCAGGGAGCAGGGATTGGAGCAGAGCACAGGCAGCCTCTAAATGTGCAGGTTTTTCCCACACCAACAGGCGTGTCAGTCAAAGTGCCTCGGCGTGTCACAAGTGACACGCGTGTCATAGGTTAGCCATCACTGACCTAGACATTCAACCCGAGTAACACGAGCACCTGATAGATATCAGGCTATTGTTGTATGCCAAGTGAATACAGTTCCTGGTAACTATAATGAACTGAAACTGTATTCTGCTAAGGATCAGGCTGTTTGGCAGGAAGCAATGGATAAGGAACTGAAATCCTTACAAAGGGCAATTATTAGGAAAGGTGTTGATTGGATGGAGGTCTATTCGATAGAAACATTTAAGTTTATCAACAATGGAGGCTGAATTCTCATGTTTGTCTCTATTATGTACAGATTTAGTTTGTTATAAGCAACTTTGATTGAGTGGGAATTGATGTAACAGATTCTATTGTTGTTTATGAAGATAACCAATCAGCAATACAGATGGCTTCCAATCTCGCTGTTAAGACAAGATCAAAACACACATATCTAAGACATTTAAATGTGAGAAAATGTGTGCAAAGTAAAATGATTAAACTGGAGTACTGCATGTCAGAAAATAACATCGCAGATCATTTTACAAAAGCTCAAGGCTCTGTAAAGCATAAGGCTTGCTGTGAGGATTATGGTCTTAGAATGTAAGGTTGTATATATTGTCCTACCCAAAGGGGAGAATGTTAGGAATGTAAGTCACCTAACAGTTGGGTTGGAAATATATAAACCAGGATAAACATTTTAATACTGTCTCTTTAAGGGAATGCTAAAAATTGTAATTTGGTGTGATTCCTCAAACGGCCATAAGATGGAGCCAGAAACCTGGTTTCCCAGGGAGTGTTGCTAGTTGTTAGTTGGTCTATGTTCTGATGTTTGCTGGTTTTGGTTCCTGCATTTTCCCTATTGACTGTTGCTGATCGTCGTTATTCTTGGATTGATGTGAGTCTATTGCTGAACTGTTTTTGATACTGGACTTTGTTATTGGCTTATCCCTGGACTGAAAACTGACTGCTATAACCGTGTATGACTTGGACTGTTTGTTGGACTTTGCTTAACCGTTTACTGGAAGTAAAACCTACATTTTACTATACAGTGTAGCTGTGTGTGTGTTATTCAACATTACTCTCACTACGTCTCCCTGTGTGCACTCATTCTCCTAACAGGGAATTATCTCAACATACCTGGGCCTGAGCCACCCAACATTTTGAAACTGCAAGAAATATAGAAAGAATATTTTCATATCAAATCTAAAATATTTGATACATAGAATATAATCAGCTATATAGCATGTCTCTTTCTTCTTTTCCTCTTTTAAAAATAAATAAATATCACAGTAGCAAAATATGCACTTTCCTTCCATTAACGTGTCACTGTTACATTTCCTTATCGTGCCTTTGAGAAAGGATTGCTTCAGGATATCGGTGTGGTGGAGAAATAGTCTAACGGTTATGATGCTTGTGTCAATTTTCTTTGAATGTTCTAGAATGGCAGTACATATGAGGCACCAGTGGGAAATTAAATGAGTCATACCTATGTGCAGTGGCATGGGTTTTTTTAACAACATAAATAATTAAATGCTGTTGTGTTCCAAATTTGACCAAAAGTGTTCACAAGAGGACAGTTTTAGAAATCTTATTTAATTCCATCAAGCTTTTTGGTTTGTAGCTACACTACAGTATACTGGAACTTCAAGTGCACATCCATGTACATAGACAAAAATATGTCTGCACAGAGATAAAACAATACACAAATAGCAGTACTTTAAAAAAAAAGCAATTAAAACTGTTACGTTTGAGGAGCTTTTCAGTGTTAGTGCTGTTTGAATTTTTTTTAAAAACCAAGTAATCAAAATATAAACCTCAAAAGAGCTGCTATTGTGAACTGTGTTGTGGTTTGCTATTCTTTGTAATGTAACCCAATCCTAGTAAATGAAAGCTCCTGCTTCTTTAACTTCATTTCTTGATATACTTCATTTGGACAGTATTAATGCAAATAATATAGCATTGTACACTATTCATAGAATGAAAAGTTAGTTGTATTTCTAAAAAGCATGTGTTTTTTTGAGTGGAGAGAAAAATGCATTTTTACAGTTTTATATTTTTATGGCTTGATGCTTTATTGTTGTTATGAGGTGCCTTGAGATGTGTTTTAAGATGGTCTGCCACACAAAATCTTTTAAATAAAGGCAACAAAGAAACTTATTTTTAACATTGCTAGTATTGAGTGTGGTGCTAAATTTCTGAAATGTCCGAGATAAAACCACTGCAATCTTCCCAGCTACTGTTTTTAGTTTTACAACTTTACATATGATAAAACATAGGAAGAAGCCACTGATATTGAAAATGGACATGTTGTACAGTATTATCTTTTCTCCAAGCCACTAGTGTTTTTTTAATCTAGTGGTTAAGGCAACAGGCAAGAAAAAAGGAGATTGTGAGTTCTAATTAGATATGAAAATCATGTGAGTGAGAATATCATTGCTCAGATATTTGTTACTCTGTCAAAAATGAAAGAAGTTGGTCTGAAAAGGATGGAAATATGGAATGGAAGTTGATTTCTATCATATTATTCTTTTCACTCTGTTTATAATTCATTTATAATTACAAAATAATAATAATTAGTAAACAAATTCACTAATTATTTTAGTTGTCCTTAAATCTAATGATACTGTCTTAGAAAGGAATATAAACTAGAAAAGTGAGTTTCTTGATACAGATTGATTGATTGACTGATTTAGCTGAAAAATGTGGCTTTATATATTACATTATCATTGCACTTTGCTCACGTAAGCTCTGGACTTGCTTGTTAACTATGTTGTTGGATCATTGCAAGTTCTGATTCAATGTTTTTCTGGCTCAGTTTTCTACTTTATCTGAAATAAAAATTGAGAATTTTTTTTCTCTACAAGATTGTAATTGTAGATACCATATTCTGCTTTTGTATTAACTTCAGTCTTGCTACACATGCCTGCAAACTCTTAAATAGAAGCAAGGTTTCTTTGGCCTCTGTTGGAACCAAAGTAGGCTAGGACAGGATTTTGGGTAAAATCAATAAAACCAATCTTTTTTTTTAAAAAAAAAATCTATTTCCAGTTAGTTTAATTATCTTTGACTATTCTGTATCAATGGGCATTGAATTCTTAATCCCAGCTCCCAGTTCTGAGCCCAAGTTAACCATTTGTTCCTCTTTTCAGAGTCACATGCATACACAGATCATGTGATTGTAACTTTAGTTTCCTGCTGGCTTCCCCATTTACTTTGCTTGTAGGAAGCCAGTGGGAAATGTCAGAAATCACAATCATGTTACCTGGCTCATTGCAACACTGTGATTGCAAGTCAGGCATCAAGTGTCAAATTGCAGTCACATGATCTTGGAAATGCTGTGTCATAAAGGCCCAAGTGTGAAATAAATCCAATCTATGTATTTTGCATTTGTTTTTCTGAGTCTAAATAAATCCATGCTGCCTTCTTGTATAAAAAGGCATAGTCAAAAATGGCTTGGCTTATAGTTGTTCTCAATGACTGTTCTCAGCATTTTAAGGCAAGTAGAAGGGAGCTGATTGAGGGTTGACTTCAAACTGGCTTGTGAGGGATTGTGAGGTGGAAATGGAATGAAAACTCTGTTATATGGAAGACCTCTGGAGATATAAGCTCTGGTAGAATGTAAATGTGGAATTTACATAACAGATATAAGCTCTGGTGGAACATCTTGATTTTTCCTCTAAGCCTCAACTTAACAGCACTTGAATATTGGCTTTAATTCTAAGATTTGTTTCTACCAGATCCTGAGGAAACATAATATAAGGCAGCCTTTCCTGACCTTTGTTCTCCAGTTGTATTTAGTTATGACTCCCAGTTTCACCAGCAAGTCAGTGATGATACTGTATGAACACGATGCAAAACTGTACAGCGTAGTACATCTGTAAGGTGTTAAGAGTTATTGGTTCTGGATATTGACCCAAGAGTAGTTGTCACTGATTGATTTATATAGTATGGCAGAATGACTGACTAATCATTAATCCTTTGGTGGAGGATTAAGTCAGTATTGAGCTTTAAGACCTTCCTGAGGATAATGGATATTGCTTGCATTACCTTGATGGATATGTTTATATATATATATATATATATATACAGTAACAAATTCAATGTATGTAATATATTCCTGGAATTTTCCCATTTTTTATGTGATGCCACAGGAGTATATAAACCTACTGGTCTAAACAGATTTCGATTTTTAATTCCAAAAGGTTGGTAGCTTTTTCAAAGGACAGGAGCCAGAATTTCAAGAGCTTGAGAAACTTTTAGCATTTTCATTCCAGATCTTCTTCTCCTGAGAATATCAACATCTAATGTAATTTCTCTGTTCTTACAAAACTTCAGCTATTTAAACAGAGACACACACAGCCCACATAAATTTTGGAATGCTGCAGGGGCTATACAGAGATTTTGCACTGTAGATCTAAACAAATTCATAGTTAAGTCCATTGTAATTAAAATCCTATATTAATGTTGTACTTCATTTTGTCTTGTAGCTTGGATCCTCCTCTTCTGTGCCTTTTTCATCTATATTCTCACAGCTGTTCATGACTGTTGTAGTTCCACTCATAATTGGACAGGTAGGTTCATTTCTGGGGTTGTAAAAGAAAACTTTTTTTCACTTAAGAAGATAAGTTTTAAAATTTAAAAAAAAAAATTTTAATAACAGAGGTGTTGAGAATGAGCACCTGCTCTTTCCTCAAAACTTAGCTTTTTAGCATCAAAATAAATATTATGTACCTGAAGGTGGGACAAAGTTGTCATCTGATTCAGAAACAGTCATGCTAGTGAAAATGAGGACAGCATCTCTAAGGCACTTCACTTGCTAGAGCTGAAAAGCGAACCAGTAAAAATAGTTCTGCAAACCTTATGTGCTGAAGTGTAAGACTGTGTCCCAAAATTAGTTCTGTTTATTTACAAAAATTAAATTTGGTTACCCACTCATTCCCAAATTGTGGCCAGTTATGTTTATGTATAAAACAAATAAAATAAAAGCTTTATGCACTCATCTTCCTAATATAAAACTGAAATAGTTGAAGGACATGAGTCCATGGATAAATCCAGATCCCCCGTGTCTTAATAACATCAGCATCTAACCACACCAACAAAAAAGGTTGTTTTTTACGCTTTGTTCAGAAATTCTATGGGGACATTTGTATTAATCTCATTAGACTTATTCAGAAACACATTTTCTGAAATAAATTAAGGGAGACATATAGTTGGGAGTGATGTTTCCAAGTGAAATAGTGATGAAATAAAACTTAGGTCATTAGGGGTTTCGCATTGCTTAACTTTCTTCAATATTATACATCTGAAGCATCCTATACAACCTTATAGATCATGGGTGTCAAACTCAAGGCCCGGGGGCTGGATCCAGCCCACAGGGTACTTAAATCTAGCCTGTGGGACCACCCTGGAAGGCCTGGCCAATGGTACTTCTGCCAGTGAAAATTGGCTCCCGAGCTCTGTTTTTAGCTGCCACGGCCTCCTGCATGGTCTCAGGAGCCCATTTTCCCTGGTAGAGCACTCGGGCTGCCACAGGAGTCCCTGATATGAGTGATGTTGAGCTGCCCCACCCACCCCAGGCACCCCCACCCCCACCCCACCCCGAGGTCAAACACAACCCTGATGCAGCCCTCAATGAAATCGAGTTTGACATCCTAGTTATAGATTGTCAATATATGTAAGTAAATACATACTTTAGATCAGCAGCCCCCAATCTTTTAGGTATCAGAGGCCAGGTCCATAGAGAAAGACCGGAGGGGGCGTGGTTTTGTGTGTTGCCTGCATCCTGAGATTGGAACTTTGCTTGTTTGCACAGCCTAGTCTCTGGCATGCTGCAGCCCAGTGCCAGTCCATGGACCAGGGGTTGGGGACCCCTGTTTTAGATCATAGATATATATGTTTTTGTCTTAGTATAGTTTCTTGATTCCTGAATATGAACTAAAATAAGTATATGTATTTGGAGGCACATAGAGGCACTTGCATGTGATTTGGGGGGTGAAGAAAATGAACATTTTAAGCATAGTTTCATGTTTTTGAACAATAAAAACAAAATGTCATCAGGTGGCGGACACTCTCTCTTTCTGCTTAAGGGAAGGTAAACTATACAATAAGTATAGGAAAAAAAGACAGGGGCAAAAAGTTAGCCAAGGATGTTTTTTGATGCTGGATTGCATGGGATCATTTTTTTTTCATTGATTTTTTTTAAATTAATTCTATCATCTATCTCTCTATCTCAGTTTCCAAAAGTCTGGAGATAGGGAGTCTAGCGGTTGGGCAAATAACTTCAATATTTGTGACTAGGACCTTGCTAGGGCTCTGTAGAGCTCTAATTGAGTCACATCGAAGAGTGGGATGTGACTCTCCTTTTTTGGCAAGTGATATGAAGTCTTTTGATTTGCAAGGCTAAATTTATATAAAAAAAACCTGACTCTGTAATCTCGATTGCCCTGCTGGGCACAACATACTGTTTCATGCATGCAAGGCAGCTTATGTTTTTTTGCTCTAAGTCATCTCTCAGCTAGGGGTCTTTGAGAACTTTGAGTTGACAAATGCATAACCACAGGCTGGTCTAACTCTGAAATGGGCCACTATTCACAGGGTAAGATAGCCTTCAATCTCCTACATACTAAGCATTTTCCAACAAACATAGTAAATAAGTAACTGGGTGGCTTATATGATCACACTTGAAATCCAGTAATTCTATAGATATATGTGCAAGATTGATACCTGTATGAAATAACCATTGATGTTATTTGTATACTCTAGTAACCAACTCTTGTCATTTGATCAGTGTATAAAATGTTAAATATTCAATTGTTTAACGGGGTTGGCAATTAAAAATACACATAGTCTACATTGAAATTAGTTAATATTCATGTCTGAAAAGGTGCATACACTCAATGGTTTCATTACAAATTTTATTTGGAAAAAAAACAGTAAAATTTAAAAACATATGGAAGATGAATAATAATCTCATGACTGGGATATAGTCCAATTCCCTGTCTGATGAACATGTGTGGAAGGTCCAGTAAAACTTTGAGACCATTTAGCTCAGTAGTACCAATTGCAAGTGGCAACAGTTTTTCTGTGGATTAGGATTGGGAGCTTTTCCAGCTAATCCTGAAGATGCAAAAATTGAATCTGCATACAAATTCTGTCATTTGCCCTTGGCCCCAAATCTCCTTTCATGTGCAAAGGGCCCCATAATTGCCATAACAGTAAAAAAATTAATGGAGGGAGAACTAAACAGGTTACATAATAAAAACTTAATAGAAATCTTCATATAAAAAGTGATCTGCTACAGACTTGACTTGATTTTTATATTATTGCAGAAAAGTATAGACCTATGTTTTGCGCCCTTGGGGACTATTATTGAAGGCTGTTGTACATGATGTGCCACAGTTTCTCACATTTTATGCCACATATAGCAAAGTATTGTTACCTCAATATGGTGCTGTGATTTGTATTTACCTCTCAACCATATTGGCCTAAACCCATATATCTAGGCAAAAAATGTGGTCTTTTTGTTTGGGTTGTCTCATTTTAGCAGGAAAGTGACAGGCAGCAGGAAAAAAATGAATGTCCTGGTAATATTTCCCTTCTTTTTTCCGCTGTCCTTCTCTCTTTTCTAGGCCTAAGTGCTTCTGACAGACTTTTATTTTATGTTTTATTTTAAAGAGTGATTTATGATTAAAAGTTAATGAAATAGAATTTTCCACAGTGCTTTTATTATATTCCACCAGTTTGAACATTTTTCAAAGGCGCACATTGAAACCCACTGTTCTCTATGAATAAATAATAAAAGCCATGTCTGTACATTATCATTCACGCATTCTCTAGTTGCCCATTGGTAATCTGTTTGCCAGTCAGGAATGAGCACTTTATATTAAATTATCCTTAACTAAAACACAAATTAGTTATTACAATTGCACTAATTTAAAATATGAACATATGGTTTTCTGTAATTGAGACCTACTTCATAAGCTTGTTAGATGGTTTTATTCAGTACAAAATTGTCTAAAAGATTCGTGTATGAAGCAAGAAGAACTCAATCACTAGCTTTATATACTAAACCATCATTTGGGACTTGCTAAATAAGCCACAAGACCTGTATTCTTACCTCATAATAAATTATAAACTATAGTTTACAAACAAATCAGATTATGGTTTAGTGTAATTTCTGAACCACAAGTAATATAAACATTTTCTATGATGTTCAGTAAGTACATTGTAAAGTGATGGCATGTTGTTTTATGTCTGTTGAAGAAATTTGTAGTTTAACCTCATGTTCTAAAGCCTCTTGGTTGGGTGGGCACCTAAAAAAAAGCTTTTTTCTGAACCCCAAGTGGATACATTGCATTGTAGATGCTCTGCTGAGCCATTCTGGGTGAGTCACAATTGGTAGAGTGAATCGTGGAACGCTTTTGTTCTGGGTTTCAGCTGAAACAAAGCTTGTCTGGATCTTGGAGTGATTTCACTCAGGGAATAGAGCAAGACTATTGCATGACAATCCCTTCAGCAACTCTAATATGTATGCCATCTAATCCTGCTATGTGGACAAACCTTCCAGAGCCTTGCTTTCCCATTCCATAGCATATTCTATAGGACTGTTCCCTGTCCTATGTCTCCCCTCTAGTACTGCTTCTGTCAATGTCGTTGGCTTTTCCTGCCACCAAGACACTTTGGTACAGATCAGTCATGTTTTGGTCTGTATTCAGAACAAAGCAGACCCATTTTTCCAAAACAAACAGCATGTTTCAGTTCAGAGGCAACCTCTCCAAAGATGTTTTTATGCCCAGAATGTTTGGTACATTAACCATTTTTCACATCTTAGTGTTTTATATTGATGCAATTATTTCTTAAAATGCCCATTAAAGCTATAAGGTTTAGCCAAAAGCTTCACTTTGAGCATAGCAACAATCATATTCTTTTCTGTGCATTGTATGTTCTGTTCCTTGTCTTAACTGTGACGAACAAATAGAGCAGATGAAGCATTATGAAGCAAAGAGGAAAGTTACAGTGAGCACCAAGAAAGCTCTAGAGAAATCAAGGACTGCCCTGTAACCAGGTAAATTCTCTGAGCTTGTAACTCCTTTCTTGAGTGAAGGCCATATCATATATTTTCCACCCGTATGAACATATTACATTTTAGATGCAAAGGGCTTCTGTGTGTGACAAGGAACAATTTCTCAGGTGATGCTGGTTTGAAAGGTACATACCCCACAGGTCCCAATTCAAAGAGCTTAGGAGGTTTGATCTGATGGGATTAGATTTGAATTTATTGCAAGAAACTACGTAAATTTATAGCCATTTCTGCATCCAGTGCTGTTAATCTCATTGATTCGGTCCCTGGTAAAAGCATTAGGGAACGGCAATAAAAAAGTATTTGTAAAAGATGAGCAGAACAAAATGGACTGTCCTCTTTAGTTAAGAGCTAGTGTGGGATGCAAGTGAGAAAGAATATATAGAAATGAAATAAGAACTAGTTATTTTTCTTTGTTAGAACAGTTCCTCATAGTCTTACTTTAAAATGGGGGAAAGTACTGATGATAATTTATTAGTAAAAGAGTAAAGT